AGTTGGCATTGTTATCGTGCGGGATCCGCGATGACCACATCCATCACCCAGGTCTTCCCGCTGTCCGTGTGGAGACTCACGACATCCGGGATCGGCTTTCCCACCGAAAAAAGCCTTATCCTCCATCGTCGTCTGCATGCCCGCCTCCCTGCAGACCATCGCCACATGGTCCCGGATGGCATTGTGGGGGATAGACGGCGCGTACTTGGTGGAGCACCTGAGAGCATGCCCCGCCGCGTTACAAGTGGATAAGTCCTTCCCGCACGAGCAAGTCCCCGCCTGAATGAGGTGTGGGATGTCCCGACCCAACCGAAGGTTCGCCGCAATCGCCCAGTCGTCGCTTTCGAGCTGGAGGTCCGGTCGAGACGGTAGAGCCGAGACCCACGCGCCCGCGTTCTGCAGCTGCAAACTGGTCAATCGGGCCTTGTGGCGGGGCCGGTTAAGGGACTTCCGGATCCCGTTCAAAGCCTCAATCTGCAGCTCCCGTGCCAAAACCGTGAAAGTTCCGCGTTCAAGCCCTCTCTCCCCGACTGTCTTCCACGTAGGCAGCTTCGTGCGGACTTTTTCTGGAAGCCTTTTCAGCGCCGACTCAGCCTCCTCAAAGATGGGCGGGAAAGGCGCCTCGCTGTCCTCGACTCCGAGAATGCTCTTCCCTCCCATCTGAAAGAAGGACTTCAGGGTCCCAGCGACACTAAGAAGGCTGACCACATACGCCAAGTCAGCTGTCCTCGCGGCTGATTGGACCCCGAAGCCACCCATCCGTTCCGGTAGAGTGATCTGCGTCTGCGCTGCCTTGTTAACCTTGCCAGGGTTGAGTAAGCTGTCGTCGTTCAGGATCTCCGAAAAGCAGCACAACATGGAAGTGTCCCAGAGTGATAGGGTCTCCCGGAAGCAAGAAGTCGGTGGTGTGGTGCGGCTTAAGAAGTTAGGCCGCGCCGAGACCGATCCTGCCAGGATCCGGGAGGCCATCTGAGCATGATTGATCCGAGGCAGTTTGCCCAAGATCGACTGCCCAGTTTCCATCTTCGTCAAGACCGCAGCCTCGACGAAAGACTTGCTACCAACTGGAGAACCAACTACCACAAGGCCCTCCGCAGCCTCGGTCATCTCGCAGAGCGGGTTGTCGGCGGACGGCCGCTTGCCACTCGGCGCGTACCACTGAAGCTCCTTACAAAGGGAAGGGAAAGCAGCTCCAATCGCGTCCAGCTCCCCCAGCAGGTACGTATCGTCCGCATAGCTGCATAAGAAGACGTCTCGGTGCGCCGCCTTCACCGCCTCCAGAGCAGGTTGTTGTGCTAGTGCGTAGAGAAACGGCCCCAGAGGATCCCCTTGCCTCACTCCTGTTCGCGACCACAAGGTGTGCCGTGTTGCATCGGCTCTGTACAAGAGTGGGGAGGGACTCCCGTAGAGGGTTCGCAGAAACGGGGTCATGCCCACAAATGGGCCCTTGACCAACTCCTTGAAGAGCGCCTGCCGACAAACTGAGTTAAAAGCGTTTTTAACATCGATTTGAAGAACGCCCCAGGTGGGGTTAGCCTTCAATGCAGCGCGCACCCCGTGGATAACCGTCTCCGCTCCGTTCCGCGCACCAGCCCCAAACTGCCCTTTCGGCTTCAGGTGTCGGATGATGGCGTCATGGTAGTCGACCGCGAGACACCGGGCCAGGAGGCGAGGGAAGACTTCCCCCACTGCGATCGGGCGGACACCGCCACCTGGTTTCTCCAAAGCCACTAGCGAACTCGAGGTCCACCACTGCGCCACCCCCTGCCCCACATCCCCTCTTGCTGCTGCCTGAAGCCATGCCCCCAGGAGTTTGAGGTCTCCGGGGTGCGTGAAGAGTTCGCGTAAGAAGTCCATGCGCCAGCCGGTGGGACCGCCTGCAGAGCCACGAGGGCTCTCGCGAAGGGCCCGCGCGAGAACTTCCTGCTTCAGGACCCACTTCGTGGGTTTCTCCGGGTGAGGAAGGGTGCTTCCGGAGCGGTCTGATCTCCCTCGAGCACAGGCAACGAGCCCTGCGCCTTGGGTTCTGGACTGGTCCGTAGTGCTTCCCTCGGCTTGGCTGAGTCGGGCCGGGCTGGGGGGCATCGATGCCGCTTACGAATTTTGCGGATCTTCTGTCCCCAAAAGACGTGGTGACAACCTTTACATTTCGCAACCACTGACGAGAGGTTGCTGGTGTTGAGGCTGTCACCGCTCACGTTGGGACACCTTGTTCGCCGCTTTGAATCCCGGAAATTCCGGGGCGGGTTTTCCAAGGTGTGTCCCTGATCCGTCGAAGGGGTTCTGAATTGCCTTCTCCGGCTCCGAAGACGGTTCGACCGTGTTCAACACAAGGTTCGAAGAAAACGATCTTTGGAGGGGCGGGTAGTCTGTTTCGGTGAGTGTCTTCGCCTCAGCGGCGGCCTTCCTTTTCTTTTGTTTCCGACCTCGCACTTCCAACTGTTGCTGGTTGTCGTGCCGGGTGGATGGACTATGACCACATTTGGCACGTAGCCAGTGGGCAAGTCCAAGGGTTGCTGCGGAACAGCAGACGTCTGCCGGGGCCCTCTTCAGGACGTTGCTTCTTTGTTGGTGTCTCCTCAAGGTCAAGCGCTTTGGCAGAGCGCTTGCCCTTTCTGCGAGATGCAGGGGCGCCAACGTACACCGTCAGTGAGAGGGCCTCGGGGTCCTTCAGGGGTGGCGAATCCTTTGAACCTCCCCAACAGGGACAAGACGGCTGGCTCGCCCTGTTGGGGCCCGGGGGCGGGAAGGGCTAGGTGCTTCTTCCCTCGACGGCGTTGTGGCTTGCCATCGGCCGCCCTTTGTATGGGCGGACTCATAGTGCGAAGATTACTCCCCGCAGAGCGCTCTTTCTTAAGCCTTCCGTCAGAGTCCGGAAGACCCACCACCATATAGTGTCTGTACTTCCCACTAACCGTGGTTCGCTGCAGATCGGCTTCCAGCTGTCGGGTTGTGACCATACCCCGCCTAGCGTAAGGCCGGCGGGCCACGAGGACCGACGAAGGTCCGCTTGGTACCGACAGTGCCACAGCTTTTCCTGCAGTAAGATGGTGTCGCAGGGCCCCCAATGCCCCACTACCCCTTAGGCCGCTTCAGCCGAGCCGGCACACCCTGTGCAGGGAGGCGGGTACTACCCGGTTTCTGTGGGACACGCGCGTTGAAATCTCTCAAACTTCCTAATCTAACTGATCGCTTGGCAGGCGTTCGAAGGCAGTTGTAGGTAGCAGGATCGCTTGTGAGCGCTTGAGAGTTTGAGAGCTTGAGTGCAATGAGAGTTTTTTATTTCAACTGGAGTGGCGTGAACCAGCTACCAGATGGTTCGATTAGTCTTTCGCCCCTATACCCAAGTCTGACGAACGATTTGCACGTCAGTAGCGCTGCGGGCCTCCACCAGAGTTTCCTCTGGCTTCGCCCTGCTCAGGCATAGTTCACCATCTTTCGGGTCCCAACGCGACTACTCAACGCACCCCGGGCGCCGAGGCCCCCGGGGCGGTCCGTGGTGCGGGCAGCACGAGGCCGCCTTCTCACGGGTCGCTTCACTGTCGCCATTGTGGTTTTCAACCCATTGGCTCGCAGCCGCGTTGGCCTCCTTGGTCCGTGTTTCAAGACGGGTCGCATCAGCCCGTTTTCGCCAGCGCCGACCCGTGAGGGCCATCCTCGGTCTCCGCCGCGGTGGGAGCGAGCTCCTTTTCCCGCGGCATCGACCGGCGCTGCGTACCTCCGGGCCCCGCGTGAACGGGTCCCGCAGGTGTGCTTGGGCTCATGCGCTTATCCTCCTGACGATTTCAAGCACTTTTTACTCTCTTTCCAAAGTTCTTTTCATCTTTCCCTCGCGGTACTTGTTCGCTATCGGAAACCTGGCCGTATTTAGCCTTGGATGGAGCTTACCACCCATGTTGGGGCTGCACTCCCAAGCAACCCGACTCTTCGGATGCGCCTCGTGAAGTGACGGGTCGTCGCCCGACGGGGGTGTCACCCTCTCTGCCGCCACTTTCCAGTGGACTTAAGGCGGCGCCCGTCACAGAGAACGCTTCCTTTTCAGACTACAATTCGGAGGGCCGGAGGCCCTCGGATTTCAAGCCTGGGCTTTTCCTTGGTCGCTCGCCGCTACCAAAGGAATCACGGTTGTTTTCTTTTCCTCCGCTTAGTAATATGCTTAAATTCAGCGGGTGGTCTCGCCTGACTTGAAGCCATCGCTTGGGGGTTTGCCCGGTTCTTCCCCGGTCCGACCATTTTTGTACGGGCCCCGTCCGCCCCTCGCCCGGTCCGTGCACGCTACTTTGGAGGGCGGAGACCGAGGGTTGCCACGCCCTCGGCTCCATTTTTCCGTTTCGCGGCCTTCTCGGGAGAGGAAAAGAGGAACGGTTTGGCATCCGATACCCCCCCACCTGCTGGGAGGTCCGGACGGGGTCCGTTGGCCGGCTGGGTTCACCGAGCCCAGCGGGGTCGCCACCCGCCTCGTTTCGCTCGTCCCGCTCGCGTCCTCCCGGTTGGCATCCGGGGATCTGCACTGGGGTCGAGACGGAGAGGAGACGGGCTTGCGGCGGCCCTGCGATTTCAGCCGACTGCCCCCCGTTGTGCACGGGTTGCGACGGCCATCTCGTTTTCCCAGGTACGGGCGATTGTCTCGAGCAAAACCCGAGCGCCCCTCGTATGCCGACGCATTTTGGCAGTTCCGTCCCGTTCACCCGGCCGCACGTAGCCGCGTGCGGAGGGTGTGGGTGCGGATGCGTGGCTCCACCTGGATGTGTGTGGCGTTCAAGCAGACGTGCCCTCGGCCGAGGCCTCGGGCGCAACATGCGTTCAAAGTTTCGATGATTCACGGAGTTTTGCAATTCGCATTACGTATCGCATTTCGCTGCGTTCTTCATCGAGCCAGGTTCCAAGATATCCATCGTCAGGAGTGGGGTCCCAGTTTTTATTAGGTGCCGGGGCTCATGGGGGCCCCGCTCAAGGGGAGGGTTTTGCGACCGGACGGCCAGTCCCGATCGCGGAGAGGTCTATATCCCGTGCCCGTTCGCAGCTCCTTGATGCACTGCGACCGGACCCGGCTGAGAAACGGTCCCTTGCCATTACCACGGGCGCTCCTTCCCAGCCGACCGAAGAGGATTTCGGAAGGCCGGGCGAGCAAGACCCCGCAGTCACACCGGCCGGTGCCAAGAGAGACGGAGCACCGGTGGCGGGGGACGCTAGGAGGGAGGAGGATTCCGGCAAGCCAACTTTCTGAGGATACGTCCTAGGTCAGGCGTCGAACTTCCCGGTGCTTCCGCTTTTGGGAAAGAGTCCGACCTGTTACCATCGGGGGAAAAGGGATTTGGTTTTTGTTCCGCATGGACGCCCGGTGCCGCCGGGAAGCAGGCTCCCTGGTGTCGAGGTTCGTCGAGGTGCGGTATGGAGAGGACATCGGGTGCCACCCCGCTGCCCCAACCGACCGTATTCGCGACTTGCCTCGCTCCCGATCACGACTAGCCTTTGGGATGGCGGGCCTACTGAGCTAGCTGCGTGGGAGGGGGACTGCTACCTGATCTCCTGCAAGAGGAGGTCGCCCGGTCCCCTCCGGTGTTGCGAGCAACACGCGGAGAAGCCCGAGGGCGGTCGTTACGTCACTCGTTCTTAGGAGCGGTTGCCAAGGTCTGGGATCAACCGAGGCGGTGCTCCGTGCCCGTCGGGGTGCGCCTTCCTTTCAGCACCACAACGAACCCATCGGTGCTCGAACTTTTTTCGAGCCACCGCACGCCCGCTTGCTCGCCGATCGCTCGCCAAAACGAACGACAAGGTCGCGGGGCACGGCCTGAGGTGGGGCTCGGCATTGTTCCGATGGATTCTCCGACGAGGCCACGGGCTAGGAGATCCGGCAGGCCGGCTTAACGCCGGTCGTCGTCCTTCCAGGCCCTCGAGCGTGCTCTGAGCACCTCGCCTCTTCCGAGGAGGAGACGAGAAGCCCGGCCATCTCTCTCCGCCGCCGCCGCATCCGGGGCACGGGTGAAACCCGAGTCCTTTCCGCGAGCGGGACGCGAGCACGCAATTTCCCCACCCAGGACGCCGGTGCAGCGCGAGCGCCGCACCTGCCGACCCGGGGTTTGGGCTGCGATTGACCCCGCAGCCCAAGGGCTCACTGAGTGTGTCAATGATCCTTCCGCAGGTTCACCTACGGAACGGTGAAATCCTGCATTATTGCCAACGGAGGGAGGAGCGCGGTCTCCCGCGCTCGCCGACTGTATCTTAGGCCTGCCTGGTCCGTCCGTGCATCGGGCGATGCGGAGGGGAAAAAAGGCAGACCCACCGTCGTTCAGTCTGTGAACTGCCCCTTGCCGGTTCGTCGGAGTCACGGGGACTCGGAAGAACGGGCCCGGGTTGGCTGCGGATCGTCTCACCCGGTCGTGCGTTTTCACCATACCCCGACGCCTCGTCTGCGCCGGGCCACGCCCCTGGCCGGTCGGCCCCGTAACGGGGTCGCCCGAGCCGGGTTGGCGCTTGGTAGCACGACCTCTCGAGAGGTCTCCGCAGTTGGACGGTGTCGCTCCCGAGGGAGGGGGGTTGGCCGTCCCACCCCGCACCTCGGTGCACTAGCGCTTAGCGCCCCTTGTTGTTGAGGGACGCACCTGCCTCTTTCTGCGAGGCAGGCCGCTCAGGCTTCCGTGTACGTGCAAATCCCCTGCGGAAGGAAGGGGGTTTGTGCCGCGCACAGCAACCTTGTTACGACTTCTCCTTCCTCTAAATGATAAGGTTTAATGAACTTCAGGCAGCGTCACCGACGGGTGACCGTCAGCGTCGTCGCTTTCCGTAAACTTCACCGGATCATTCAATCGGTAGGAGCGACGGGCGGTGTGTACAAAGGGCAGGGACGTAATCAACGCGAGCTGATGACTCACGCTTACTAGGTATTCCTCGTTGAAGATCAATAATTGCAACGATCTATCCCCATCACGATGAATTTTCAGAGATTTCCTAGACCTCTCGGTCAAGGGTGAGCTCGTTGAATTCATCAGTGTAGCGCGCGTGCGGCCCAGAACATCTAAGGGCATCACAGACCTGTTATTGCCTCAAGCTTACAGTTGGCTAAACGCCAACAGTCCCTTTAAGAA